ACTGTTATTGTATATTGTCTCTGTTCCTTTCTGATCTACTACTTTTAGGGTCTCTCTTTGCTTAGAGGACCCCTTTAAATATTTCCTGTAGAGCTGGTTTGGTGTTTGCAAATTCTTTCAGTTTTTGTTTGTCCTGGAAGCTTTTAATCTCTCCTTCTATTTTCAATGATAGCCTAGCTGGATATAGTATTCTTGGATGCATGTTTTTCTCGTTTAGTGCTCTGAATATATCATGCCAGCTCTTTCTGGCCTGCCAGGTCTCTGTGGATAAGTCTGCTGCCAATCTAATATTTTTACCATTGTATGTTACAGACTTCTTTTCCCAGGCTGCTTTCAGGATTTTCTCTTTGTCACTAAGACTTGTAAATTTGACTATTAGGTGACGGGGTGTGGACATATTCTTATTGATTTTGAGGGGGGTTCTCTGAACCTCCTGGATTTTGATGCTTGTTCCCTTCGCCATATTGGGGAAATTCTCTCCAATAAGTCTCTCCAATATACCTTCTGCTCCCCTCTCTCTTTCTTCTTCTTCTGGAATCCCAATTATTCTAATGTTGTTTCATCTTATGGTATCACTTATCTCTTGAATTCTCCCCTCGTGGTCCAGTAGCTGTTTGTCCCTCTTTTGCTCAGCTTCTTTATTCTCTGTCATTTGGTCTTCTATATCACTAATTCTTTCTTCTGCCTCATTTATCCTAGCAGTGAGAGCCTCCATTTTTTATTGCACCTCATTAATAGCTTTTTTTATTTCAACTTGGTTAGATTTTAGTACTTTTATTTCTCCAGAAAGGGCTTTTATATCTCCCGAGAGGGTTTCTCTAATATCGCCCATGCCTTTTTCGAGCCCAGCTAGAACCTTGAGAATCATCATTCTGAACTCTAGATCTGACATATTACCAATGTCTGTATTGATCAGGTCCCTAGCCTTTGGTACTGCCTCTTGTTCTTTTTTTTGTGGTGAATTTTTCCGCCTTGTCATTTTGTCCAGATAAGAGTATATGAAGGAGCAAGTAAAATACTAAAAGGGTGGCAAAAACCCCAGGAAAATATGCTTTAACCAAATCAGAAGAGATCCCAAATCGTGAGGGAGGAGAAAGGGGATAAAAAGAGGTTCAGAAAGAAAAAAAAAAAAAAAAAAAGAAACAATTAAAAAAAGAATACAAATAAAGAAAAAATATAAAAAAGAAAAAGATAGATATAGATATAGATATAGATATAGATATAGATATATATACACTAGATAAACTAGTTTAAAAACGTTAAAAAAGAAAAGGGTAAAAGTTTAAAAAAAATTGGCAGAAGAAGAGAAAAAAAAATTGAAAAAGAAAAAAAAATTAAATTAACTGCAAGGCTGAAGAATCATGGGAAGAAAGCCATGAGTTCCGTGCTTTGCTTTCTCCTCCTCTAGAATTCCGCTGTTCTCCTTGGTATTGAAACTGCACTCCTTGGTAGGTGAACTTGGTCCTGGCTGGATTTCTTGTTGATCTTCTGGGGGAGGGGCCTGTTGTAGTGATTCTCAAGTGTCTTTGCCCCAGGCAGAATTGCACCGCCCTTACCAGGGGCCGGGCTGAGTAATGCGCTTGGGTTTGCTTTTGGGAGCTTTTGTTCCCTGAGCGCTTTCTGTAGAGTTCCGGAGGACGGGAATGAAGATGGCGGCCTCCCAGTCTCCAGCCAGGAGGAGCCAAGAGCCCAGGGCCCCACTCCTCAGTGCACCCCCAAGGAACAGCACCCAATTACTCCTGTCACCCTGGCCTCCAGCCACGCTCCGAGCCGACCGAGCCTGCGACCAATTCAGGGTAACCCCGAGCTGTGAGCTCACTCCTCGGCTCTGTCTCTGTAGCTGGCTTCCCCGTTCTGATACCTGTAAGCTCTGCGACACTCAGACACCCCCGATCCTTCTGTGACCCTGTGGGACCTGAGGCCACGCTGACCCCGCGTGGGCTTCACCCTGGTTAAGCCTCTGGAGTGATGTCCCTCAGTGGAACGGACTTTTAAAAGTCCTGATTTTGTGCTCCGTTGCTCCACCGCTTGCCGGGAGCTGGCCCCTCCCCCCGCAGTCTATCTTCCCGTTGCTTTGGATTCACTTCTCCGCCAGCCCTACCTTTCCGAAAGTGGTTGATTTTCTGGTTCTAGAATTGCTGTTCTTATTCTCCTCGATCTCCCGTTGGATTTGTAGGTGTTTGCAATCTTCAAGCAAGTTATCTAGCTGATCTCCCGCTATCTGAAGCAGTCTCAGCCTGCTACTTCTCCGCCATCTTGACTCCTCTCTCACTTTTTTCCAAACTCTTATATGCCTGAGCTACCTCTGCTTCCAATTCAAACCAATTTTCACAAACAAAGTTGTATCCCAATTCTCTAATTCTTTTCCCAATAAATGTACTTTCATTACATCTGATATATGACACATTGTTTCTCATTCTCTTTAAAATTACATTTATTAAGCTTAAGCACAACTTGTTCATCAATGACATGAGTTATTTCTTTCCTGAATCAGATAATAATTTTCAGCAACAGGAAGATTATATCCTTAAATTCCCTAATTTCTTGTGCTACTCATAAAGTAACAGGTACAGACAGAGCACTTTTAAATCTAATCTACCTTATTGGTGTTTCCCTCTTCACTTACTTATGTTGAAACAACCAACTAAGAAATAAGTCAATCCCTGATTTGCACTGTTTGCCAAATTCTATGGTGTAAATATGCTCACCATGGCTGATCTTAAGTTACCAACATAACATCACTGAACACATACCAATATACAGTATTTCATCCATTTAAATAAAACACATGTGGGGCATGGCTCCTCCCCACTGGGTGGCTCAGTGGGTTAAGCCTCTGCCTTTGGCTCAGGTCATGATCTCAGGGTCCTGGGATCGAGCCCCACATCAGGCTCTCTGCTCATCAAGGAGCCTGCTTCTCCCCTCTCTCTCTGCCTGCCTCTCTGCCTACTTGTCATCTCTATCCAATAAATAAAAAATCTTTAAAAAAAAACCATGAAAATAACCCCAAGATCATAGTCAGTATTAAGTATAGGAAATAACTATTAAGTGTTACATTTTGAGTATGTTCTCTTTTTAATATAATTTATTTTAGTAATTTAATAATTTTAAACTAATGGCTTGTATTTAATAACTAGCATCTAAAATTCCTAAAAATTAAATAATCAGAACTTGCAAGGCAGATTCAACACAACACTAGATATTTTCTGTATCTTGATTAGTGTATTGGTGATTAGGGTATATACATGTATCAGTATCATTGAAATGTTTGCTTAAAATGCATGCACTTTATTGTATATAAATCATACTTCAGCAAAGACAATTTAAAAAAAGATAATTGGTATCCCTTAGAGTTCTATGTTAGGCCTCTTTTTCACTCTACTTGTACTTGCTGGGCCAGTTTATCTCCTCCCCTTGTTTCAATATCCATATCATGATGATTTTTTATTGTGTATGTCCACATTTCTCTCTCCCAACTGCCATTTCATATAATCAACCTCCACCTGGATGTTACAAAGACTTTCCAAACTCAGTGCACCTACAACTGTACTCATTATCAAACATTACCCACACTGTTCTTCCTCAAAGCTCCCCACTTCAGATAACTGTACTTCTATCCACTGGGGTACACAGCCAAACATCAGTATGAAATTTCAATCTCTACCACTTCCTAACACCACACCTCTAATCAATTCATACCTGTCAAATCTACTCCTAAATATCTCTCATGTTCATCAATCTCCAGGTCCCCACTCTCATTGCTCCAGCTCAGACCACAATTTTCTCTCACCTGTATTACCCCCAAAGCCTCCTAATGACCTCTTGGCATTTGTTCTTGGCCCCTCAAATCATTCTGCAAATTATGTAGAGAGAAGTTTTTATACATACAATTCTGACTTCATTATTTAGCTTACAAGCACCTGCATGATTGGGCCCTGATTTTTCTCCTAGATATTTCCTTGATAGTTATCTTCCAACCTCATTGAATTTTACCTTCCAACTTCACTGAAATTTTTTTTCACTTTCTCTATACAAAATAGTCTTTTCTCTTCCTTTTCTGTAGATATTTTCTATGTATCCTTCAGATACCAGCTTATGCATTACCTCCTTGGGGAAATCTTTCCTAACCCCTTACACTGGATGCCCCACCTGTATAAACCCATAGCTGGTTTCACACCAAAATATTGCATACATAATTTTCTGCCTACCCTACTAGACCAAAAGTTCCTTTAGATCAGGGACCATTTTTATTATGATTGCTGCTGAAAAACTAGCTCCTAGCAAGGAGCCTAGAAAACAACAACTCATCACTGAATATTTATTGAATGAATCTTCGGAATACCACAGACCATAAGGTTGTTATCAGGTACCGCTAACCCTTCTTGTCTCATATACATCAGATTTCAGGCCCTGTACCTCAAATTATACTGCAAATTCCTTGAGAGGTTTAGGGTTCTGCTTTAAATTTATTAAAACCCACACAGCCTTCATACAACACTAATTATAGTTCACTAAACACCTGATCAATTATGTGGACTCCTATTTATCCCCAAAACCCAAATTCCTACCAAATTCTCAAGCTGCCATTGAAGATCTATGTCTTATCCAGAAAATGTGTATCTGTTTTGACCCTCTTCCTAAAACATAGATGTTACGTTGTTCTTTAGCCTATTTTAAATACATTCCGTCCAAACTGACCCCTAAGTTCACCTTCTTTTTTTCCTTCCTCCTCTCTCCCTATCCCTGGCCTCTACTCTGTTGCCATTATCTTAAATATCTTCATCTCTTGCACTTAATATCTCACACTATCTTCAAAGGATCACTTCAGTTCTTGGCTTTTTTCTGATTTCTGTTCTTTGTTTTAAAAACATTTTCAATTCTCTGTGTTCCAAGAATAGCAGTAGATGCTGAAAAAACATTAAGTGATAGACTATGCCATGGAAGAGCTTGCATGCTGGGAGATGGCAGTGACTGGTATTTAAATACATAGATTTAATATAATGTACTAAAGGTACTATAGAAGGCACTGAGACAACTTTGAGAAAGGAATGCCTTCTGACTGAGCATGGAATGGGGAAGAAGAGGGTAAGTCATCAAAAAATTGTTATAGCTCTTTTCGTTATATTCCCAAAATAAAATACCATGTCACATTCATTCCAGCATTTTCTGTAGCTAACATCTGTTGAGCAAAATCATTATCTCATTTAATTCTCATTAAAACTCTACAAGTTATAATGACATGGATACTATTATGGTCAGCACTTTATAGCTGAAAAAACAGGCTTAGAGATACTGGGTCAATACCCAGACTCTTAACTACTACGCAGCAAATCCTCAATCTTCGATGGGTGAAATAAAACACCCTGGGGGCAAAGGGAGGGGTTACATGTGCCACATGAATCCCAGGAAAATACCAGACACACAGTAAATTGTTTGTAAGCTTTTTTTTGGGGGGGGGGCATTATATATATTGGACCAACAACAATCTATATACCAAGTTCAGGGACAGAACTGAAATCCATAGCTACTAACCCTCCACTCCAATATGTTCACACATCAAAAATAGATTTTTCTCTCTCTTTTGGACATTTATTTGTTTAGTCTGAATTGGGGCTGGGCATGCTGTTTGTTTAATGAAGAAAACTCTTTCAGGAAAAATTAAAAAGAAATACCAAAATACCTGCACCTACAGGAAATAAGCCGAGGTAAGAGAATTTGCCATCGTTTCCCCCACTTTTATTAGAAAACAGGTCTCTTTCTTGCATTTCTCAGTGTAGACACTGAAGCAGTCAGGCCAGCCCCCAGATTCCCTCATTCTCTATGCACACCACCAGGTAAGACCAGTGACCAACTGCCCTTCTGATATTTCTCTCACTGTTTGCATGAAAGAAAAGCTTGAAATAAAATTTACTCTTTGCTCTCAGCAAGAACTAATACTTATCAAATGCCCTGGTCAAACACAATAAAATCATACTGTGTAAGGAAATTGCTTTTGTAATTGATTTACTAGTTTTCATAGAGGAAAAACATTTCAGTAGCATTTTCATTAAATTGCTTGTCTACAACCACCAAAAAATATCTAGTTTTCAGTTTTTAAAGACCCCATATCTCTGTCATTTGGATTAAAAAAAAAAAAAGTAATAGAATGAGAAAAAATACTAAACCTAATGGTGCACTATATGGTAAATAAAAGATCCAGACATGTCCTTCATTGCAGAAAAGTATAGAATTACAGATTACATATAGGGAAGACAGTGTTTTTGTTTTTGCTGTCTTAGGTTGTGAGACAGAAAAATAGAGGGAGAAAGGAGTAGTTTGGCTTTGTATATATTCAAAAAAGCCTTAACCCACTCCCTGAGCCTCAGAGAACGGGCCAGCAGGCAAAGAGCAAGTTCAACTGTTCAGATTCTGCTCCCAGGGATTCTGTAAGTCATTCTAGGCCTCACAATGAGCCCGCAAGCACCAACAAAAAGCTTTTAGCACTTAAAATACATTTGGTTCAAAAGAGATCAAGGTAATAAACTGCACTAGTGAAATTATTTGACATATAACCAAGACACTGAGCCTTTGGCTAAAAATCTGTATTTTGTTATTGCCATATTAAATTGTAAGCACCATAAGGACAAGGTCTGTATGTGTCTGCAGCTGTGTCCCCAGGGCCACATACAGAATGTAGCTCACAACTAATATATGCCTTTTGAATAAATAAATGAATTTTAATTTCCCATTGAATAAAAGTGTCTTTGAATGGATTACTAAACAGTATCTTTCACCATTAAATTTCAGAGCAGAAATCTTCCCAACCTCCCACTTGATCTTCCATATTTAGAGTGCATCAAAAGAAGAGAAAGAGATTTGGGAGCAGGGCAGAAAAATAGGAGAAGGAGAAAGACAAGCTATAAGGAATCAAAAAATATCACTTGGAATAATCATATCAAAAGCTGGAACTCCAAATCCCAAATGGTAATCTTTGCTTCCCTATAGACATAAATACTGTTAAGCTGTGACTACATTTTGTTGGCACTATAAGAAACTAAGCAAAGTAAAAAAATTTCCCTTAGACAAGCTACCAGTATTCCAGGAAACTCAGCTGACGTGCTGAAACAAGCTAAGAGTGTTCATTTATCCAACAAATATTTATTGACCTGCTAACTGCTAAGCGCTGTACAAGGTGCCACATATGGATTCAACAGTAAATCTGCTATGCATATCTGAGATTTTTTTTTTAAGGTCCTGGATAAATTTAAGAATCTGATATATAGACCCTCTCCCAGAGGGATGGGTAGTGGGGAAAGCATATTCAAACCATGTACATGCACATGTTCTGCATACAATTTCAGGAAAGCTGTAGATCCTCCAAAGCCAATTCACATACCGAGGGTTTATAAATGTAGGAATCCTACAGATTCCATTGCCCTCTGCCCAAGCAATAATCTAACATGCTGCTGTATTTTTTTTTTTTATTTAAATTAAATTCAGGTAGGTTAGAGGCACCTGAGTGGCACAGTCCGTTCAGCGTCTGACTTGGTTTTGGCTCAGGTCATGGCCTCACTATCCTCTAATCAAGCCCCATGCTGGGCTCTGTGCTTAGTGCAGAGTCTGCTTACAACTCTCTCACTCTCTCCCTCTGCCACCTCTCCATTCTCTCTATATATAAACTATATAAATCTTTTTTAAAATCAATTAATTAATTAAAGTCAGGTTATGTTCTAGACAGAAGCCTCTTGATTAGAACTGGTTGCAAAACGAAGCTCCCAAAGCCAGGGCAAGATGGCAGGTGATCTCAGCCCCTTCCCAACTTAGTGAGCTTCCTGAAATAACTCATAGAAATTACATAAATCATTTTAATACAGTTTTTAGAAACCTTCCCTAACTTGTTTAATCAACTTAGAACACTTTCCATTTCAGAGGTTTTACTCATTTAAGGCACTTCTGCATTTTCAACATATAGATAACAATCTAGATATGATATACAATCTTCAGGAAAAAATCAAGCCAAGGTATCCAATTCCACACAGAAAGAGAATGCCAAATTGACATCTAAAATACCTGTTTGTACAAAGGACACCTCGGGGTTTTTTTCAATTAATTATCCTGCTCTCACTGCTTTATATGTTACAGATTACTAGAATTCATAATTGAATAATATGTAGATGTCACCAGGAGGTGCTAAACCTCCTATTCGCCTACTTGGAATTGCCTGTCTCAATAAGAATGACACTAACTTTAGCATTTTCTCTCTGATTAAAGACACTATAGATTTGCAGTCACCTCCATGTAATATAAATCAATAAAGAATAATTTTCCAGGCAGTAAATCAATTGTCAGTTCACAGACCCAAATACCCCTGTGCAGGATTTATTGAAAAAATGAATGGCAGTCTTGTTAGGAGATGTACAGCATGCTTTATAGGGACATAATAGTGTAAACCCCAGACTATTACATTCACTACAGTGAGGAATCCAACAGAAATAAGCCTTTCTTTTCCATGGGACACAAACTCAACTGGGTTTTTCAATGACAAAATGAAAAAAAACTTAAAATACAACATAACAGTAACATATCTCTGTAGTAGGGAGGGTATACCAGTCTTGGGAACACTTTCTGCACTTTGGGTGTGGTGGACCTGAATAGTTAATTTTCTAAATCTTGCCATCCAATAGCATCCATTAGTCAGGAGCAATTTTTGAATTCTTGTGATATGGCTAGTCTAAATTGACATGTGATATAAGTATAAATAAACACTGGATTCTGAGGTACCTGGGTGGCTCAGCCCATTAAGCATCCAACTTGATTATGGCTCAGGTCATGATCTCAGGGTCATGGAATGATGCCCAACTGCACTGAGAATGGAGACTGCTTAAGATTCTTTCCCTCTCCTCTACCCCTCCCACTCCTCCTGTGCATGCACACTCTCTCTCTAAAAAAAAAAAAAAAAATTTAACAAAAACACTGGATTTCAAAGACTTAGTACAAAATAAAATTAATTTCAATTATCTGTTTTATGTGGCTACTAGAAAATTTAAAAGCACTTATGTGGTTCACATAACTATTTCTATCACACAGCACTATTCTGCACAGTAAAGTGGCTCAGGTGACAGACTGAAAAATTTTATCATGGTCAGCCAACAATGCACCAGCAAATCCTCAGAGAACTAGATAGTTAAGTAAGGGAATGACAAAATAAGACTCCACTTTTTAAAAGAGAACAGTAGGTAGTTCCTCTAAAGAAGTGGGAGAAGACAATAATTGGATGTTCATGAGTGGGAAGATTGGTCCCCACAGGCCATACAGTAATATTTAAAGTGCTGTCAAACAAAACTAAAGAACCTGAAAGAAGAGAAATAGCAGACCTGTTAATGGTGACATAACCAGATTTCAACAAATGAGGGGTATGAGAAAGAATAAGCCAAGAAAATTTTGATTAATGCCCTACGAAGATACTTTAAGTTTATATCAAAAGTTATCTTTGGTTTGGGGCGCCTGTGTGGCTTAGCTGATTAAGTGTCTGACTCATTTAAGTCGTGATCTCAGTGTCCTGGTATTGAGCCCTATGTTGGGCTCTGCACTCAGCATGAAGTCTGCTGTGGATTCTCTCTCCCTCTCCCTCTGCCCTCCTGCTTGTGCTCCCTCTCTTTCTCAAATGAATAAATATATCTTTTTAAAAAAATTTCTTGGGGTGCCTGGGTGGCTCAGTGGGTTAAGCCTCTGCCTTTGGCCCAGGTCATGATCTCAGGGTCCTGGGATTGAGCCCCGCATCAGGCTCTCTGCTCAGCAGGGAGCCTGCTACCCCCTTCTCTCTCTGCCTGCTGCTCTGCCTACTTGTGATCTCTTTCCCTCTGTCAAATAAATAAATAAAATCTTTTAAAAAAAAATTTCTTCAGTTCAATAGCTACAAGCAGTCTCATTCATTACTAGATGCTCAGAATCTTACACAAGGCCTGACTCTGGAAAACACTCAATAAATACTTGCTAAATTAAAGAATGAATTAAATGATTAAATATGAAAAAAAAACTAATGCAACTAAATTATGATGCAAATGCAAAAAAGAAAAAGAAGTATATTAATTTTTCTACTGCACTAAACTAGAAATACCCATGAAGCAGAGTGGAGACACTGGAACTCTAAATAATGAAGAAGGAAATGCAGAAACAAAGTAGAAGACATTTTTAGACATGAAAGTAAAGAAAAATTAAAATGGATAATAGCATTAGTGAATCCTAAATCGGGGGAAAGTAATGAGAATTTTAAGATATTATAAGATATAGGGTGACAGAGTCTAGAAAAATTGCTACCATTCTGTGGCTGAATAAGGCAAATCATAGCTTTTTGAATCTCAAATTTTGAATTTGTATAATGAAGCTTTGGAATTAACCTAAAATTCCAATAGTCTATAATATCAGTGATATGAGGAAAATCAAAGGATGCAACCAACTATTCCCAAATCCTCAGGAAATCCTTTGAGAGATTTAACATCAAGGAGAAAATATATATACAAACTTAAGTGTTTCTCAATCAGGGGTGATATTACTCGGGATATTTGGCATTATCTGGAGAGGTTCCAGGTTGTCACTCTTAGGGAGTGCTACTGGCATCTAGTGGGTAAAACCAGAAATGCTGCTAAACATCCTACAATGCACAAGACAGTACCCCAAAACAAAGAATTACCTGGGGTAAAATGTTGATGATGCAATGTTAAGAAATCGTAATCTAGAGTAATATATAAATAATTTTCACAGAAACCAGTAAGGTAGAATAAGAAAATATAAGAAATTTTGAAGTCCTGTACCAATAGTACAATCTTAGGCTTAAAAAAAAAAAAAAAAAAGAAAGAAATAACACCTAAATTCATCATTCATCCCTGGTCCTCCTCTCTCAATATCACTTCTGAAGTTTTACTAGAATTCTTCTTAAGAAATCACCATCCCTAAGAAAATGAGAAAAATAATTCAAATTTATATGGGAGATATATGCACATTTTATGCATAGGAAGTAAAAATTATGCTTTTTTCTATTATGAATAAAAAGATTTGTCATAAATTTAGACTGGGTTCATTTCTTTATGCTTAATACAGCCTACACACAAGCACCTGAAGAGAAAGTAGATCGAAATTGTACCCATTAAAATATTTACCCTTCCAAGTAACCTAAAGTGGTAAGAAATATAGGCTTAATTATCTTCTCGGATTTTCAGTTAGCACATGAATTTGCAGTCCTACTCTACTTGAAAAATAGAGAACACATTCAATACCAAATTTAAATTTACTGCTCTTAGAATACCTTCCTTTGGGCTGCAAACTATAATCAAGTATTCTATATCACCATGAGTTTCAGTACATTAATATGATTTAAAATATGCTTTAAAGATATATCCATGATTTGTAATAATTGCAACTCTCAGAAACTAATAGCCAAAAGCATTTGACTTTTACCTTCAAATATCCTCTCTCGTATCCAGTTAAAATACTGTCTGAATCAGCATAAGAGCTTCTATACTAAGATATTAAAAGTAATCATCATTTTTTTAGAGAATTCTATTATGTTAATACTTGATATGTTACTTTTCCCAGGTAACATATTTTCATTTTGATAGGAATCTATTAAGCATATGCTTCAGTAGAATTCTAGTGGAGTTATTTTCAGGGACCCAAAGCTATAAAGCATACACTATATGGGTGAGTGGAGGGAAAGGGAAGGGAAAGGCAGACGTTTTTAGAGTATCTCACCATTTAGTTTCTTGAGGCTGTTATAACCAAATACTACAAAATTGTGTGGCTTAAAACAACAGAAATCTAGTCTTTCACATTTATGAAGGCTAGAAGTCTGAAATCAAGGAATCAGCGAGGCTGGTTCTTTCC